ACCTGCAAAGGGATGAAATGCGACTTGCGCTGTGCTTGCAATCTACATTAGTATAAATACGAATGCCAAGAACAAAACGTTATACGCCCCCTTTCCCTCTGCGCCTCATTTTCCCTAAAGAGGGTCGCTTCCGATTCGGCAGAAAGAGCCACACAAGCCAATGCTAGTCTCGCAGGTGGTGTTTAGTAGATAGGCGCTTATGTTTCGCAGTGAGTCCCACATAACCACGCAGCCGGCTGTCGTGGTATGCTTAGAGCATTCACCACCTCCCTTCCCCGCTTTCCGGAGGGTAGGCCTTTTCATTGCATCTGGGCGCAAAAAAAACAACGATATGAACGCATTCCGTTTGCGCCGCCGCAGCTAACGCCGCCACCCCTGTGCGGTTGTATTAGCTGTCCACGCTCACTATCCCCGTACGGTTGGTGCGCCCTCCTGTCTTCGCTAGCGCCGCCGCCCCCATGCGGTTGCGTCAGCTCTCCGCGCTCACCGTCCCCGTACAGTGAGTGCCTTCCCTTCCCTTCCCGTCTTCGCTAGCGCCACCACCCCCGTGCGGTTGTGTTAGCAGACCGTGCTCACCGTCCCCGTACGGCGAGTGCATTCTCGCTCATGCGACTCCAACATCTTCACTCCTCTGGCACCGCTGCCCCCGTGCGGCTGTGATAGTAGACCCGCGTTCCTGTCCCCGTATGATTGTGCCCCGCGCCCCCCTTCTCTAAGGGGGGGGGGTCGCTTCCGATGCGGCGAAGAGTCCATACACGCCAGAGCCAGTCCCGCAGGAGGTGTTTAGTGGGTAGGCACTTCTTAATGTGTTCCACATAACCACGCAGTCAGCTGCGTGGTATTCTATGAGCATTCACCACTTCCCTCCACCGCTTCGGAGGGAAGCCTTACAAAGGGCGCAAAAACAAAACGTTACTCATTTGTTTTCGGGATTTTGAACATAAAAGTGTGACTGTGAAAAGAGAATCGATGTCAGTGTTTACAGTGCCAAAAAAGTAAGTATCTGTCTATTTGTTAAACATATTTTATTGTATATTGTAATTTATCGATCATATTATATTTGTTTTACTATTTGAGTATACATTATATGTATGCATTATTTACATTAGATTTAGAATTTACTATTTATTTAAAAGGCACAACAAATTGTGGAAGAACAAAATTCATAAAAATAAATAGCTACATATTTATTTATCTATGATCTTAATTAAGTATACGTTACGGCCACAAACTAGTAAGAAGTGCTAGCGCAGTTACGGCTATAAGCCGAAGTGCAGTGCACCTAGTTCTAGCCGGTTGTAACTAGGAGCGGTCAGTAGTAGTGGGTTAAATTTGTAAAAACACTGAAATACGTATCAAGTAATATCGAAGACAGTAGGCTAAGGTGGCCAAAACCACAGACATTTATCTAATATATAAATTATATATGATACACATAAATTTAACAAACCGCAATAGGCTGCACCTAGTAGTACCCGGCTACACCTAGGTGTATCCGCACTTCGGCTTTTAGCCGTAACATTTATGACGCTAACTACAGCAAGTATTCTTCATGATGAAGAGTACACTTGTATCATAATTTTGAACGTGAGAGGGTAATCATGGAGGATAACACTTCAACGTAACTTCACACGATCAAATCCAAAACTGTAATGAAAGTGAAAGCAATATCCTGTTTCTGTATCCTCTTATTACTCTGTAAATAAAAGTTATGCAAGTTTCAAACTTAGTCTGTGGTAACTGGTAATAAGAAATGTCATACTCAGAAGGGCTAGAACCCAGAGCCGTAAAGCCAGTTTAAAAAAAATGTCATATTGGCCTAAAGGTCTAGATACTAGGCCATAAACTCCAAAAAAAATAAAATGTCATATTCTCATAGACATACAGTCTTATTCATAAAAATCCCTTAAAATGGCGTTATAACACTCTTTAGGTGAACACATTGTGCAGCTCTTGGGAGATTTTGACGGCAACTTGAGCCAGCAGACAGCTGACAGTTGGCGATGGTATCTAAAGGCGCCTATGCAGACAAACAGCTTATCTTGAGAATCCATCACCATCAGAGCACTTGTTTCACCGTTTCCACTAATAGTTCACATGCGTAGACAGTTAATACATAAAATCGCACCACTTTTACATATCAAAATCCACTTCAAACTATTATTTAAACTATAATACAGGAGCAGCAAACCGCCGCCGGTAAAGTTCCCGCCAAAACTCTTATTATGTTGTCATTCTGACGAATCCATAGACTAGCCACGGTGAAAAAAAAAAAAAGTTTGACAGCAATTGTGACATTATCGTCAAAATAAGCGCGGTTAAATCGTTAAGTCGTTAAATCGTTTCAAGAAATTGATTTTAGTTTTATTTTATACTCAATAATAACGGAAAACAGTACAAGTAAAAAGCGGCAAAGAAGTGAAAATTGGCGGGAGGAAGATAAGGTTAGTATGTAACTAAAGTAATTTTCTCATAGGTGCTTAGTGCACAAGTGTTAGTTCACTGTGTTGTTATAATAATATCCTTTTTCTTTCCATAGTATTTATTGATGGATTTGGTAAGGGAGCGTGTATCAGTGATTGAAAATAAAAATACTGATACAAATACGAACTCGAAAAAGCTAGCAACATGGGCGGATTTATTATGCAGGTACCTATTTTTGTCTATCAATATGTGAAGTGTTTGAAGACGATTCTTCATCGCAATGATATTCTATATACGGCCAGTTACATTACTATGCAACAGAAGCATGTCACTTTGTCTCTAGCTCGCCTATTACATATAAGTTTAAAGTAACATAACAGTCTTCGGGAAGAGCTATGACAGGAGCCTTCCTATGTAATAGGATTCCTTATGACGAAACTTATTGAAGAATATAGCTGCTGACACAGATTCAGACTTAAGTTTCAAGCTTAAGTAACAGTGGGCAGTCCACATGGCTCATAGAATTGGACGGGTTGCATATGAGCAAGTGCAACAATGCTCAGAATTGCTTGCATTAAGATTAGCCCATTTTGAATATTAAAATGTTAAACATTTATGTAAATTTTTATACTTTTTTCCAGTTTCAACAGTATGTGCAAAGGTGGCACTCGGACTCTCCCACAACTAAAAGCCCAATGGTGCATGATTAAAATGGCAAAAAAGAAAATTAAGTCTGTCAAACGTAAAAATCTTCTTCAGACTGGTGGTGGTCCACCTCCAAAAACAAACCCCGAAAATGCAGATGACATCTGTTCATGGCTCCCTAACAAATTTGTCATTGACACAAATGAATTTGATTCTGATGAAATTAATCAGGTATATGTCAAGATTCTAAGTTAAAAGTCACAAATTTTTATCTCTACCTAGTACAAACTTTCATTTGATAAACATTGTTGTTCCTTTTCTGCCTAAATACCTACTAAAGTTTAGTTAATGATATTGTTATCAAAAAAAATCATACTTACATAATATAGTTCATTAGTAATAGAATTATTTATTTGCATTGTTTGTAGATTGGGGAGCCATTGCAAAATGAGATCAAAGTGGATGAGATAACTAAACTTGTCAACATTGAAAACAAGACTTCAGATATTGTAAGCATCGGTAATGTATTGATATAGCAAGTAATTTTTATATTTTTCATACCTAATTTTAATTTTATTTTACTCTTGTAGGACACAATGAGTACAGTAAAGGATGTCACAGTAGACATACTTCAGGACGTCCAAAATACACAAGAGGTAAGTATGTGAAATGTCATAAATTAAGTACTAACTAAACATGTGCCAAACTGGAAATTGAAACCATGGAAGCAGTTATCTCCCAGTATGTGCATTGTAAAGTTTAGGGATAAAAATTTTACTTGAAAAAATTAAATGGTCTATTCAAACTTGAATTTTATTTGATGAAACATTTAAGATTAAGTTAGTATAAACAAGTTTTTTTTAACGGTTTCCATTGCTGCAGGTTGTATCTATTGGCTCACCACCAAAACCACTGTTTACACCATCTAAGAAACCTGTAAGAAAACATAAAAGTGAGAAAAAGGTAAATACAATGACCTCTATTCTAATTGGGATTCTGTTAATTTATGAAATTGTTGCTTTCATTTTTTTAAATAAACAAACATAACTATTTCTATTTCAGACCTCAGATAGATTAGATAGATTTTTTAGTAATTTATTCTATTACCACTGGTTCGAAAAAAACCTCTGTCCTGGGAAGAACCAGCAAGAAACCCAGCGGGACTTTTTTTTAAATAAAATCAATTTACAATATATTACTGTATACAATTAATATGAAACATTTACTATACACATCATTACTATAATTACATTATTACTAATTACTAATATAACATAATACTGTAGACAATTAAGCACAAGCAGTATTTATGAGTCTTTGCAGGCGCTCTGCAACAGCTCGCCCAGTGCCAGTTACTTGTCCTGTAATAAAAACAAAAAAATTTAAGATTATTCTAATATAGCATAATACTATAGATAATTCAAGTAAAAGCAGTATTTATGAGTCTTCTTTGTAGTCGCTCTGCAATAGCTCGCCCAGTGCCAGTTACTCGTCCTGTAATAAAAACAAAGTTTTATGATTATTCTAATATAGCATAATACTATAGATAATTAAGTAAAAGCAGTATTTATGAGTCTTCTTTGTAGTCGCTCTGCAATAGCTCGCCCAGTGCCAGTTACTCGTCCTGTAATAATAACAAAGTTTTATGATTATTCTAATATAGCATAATACTATAGATAATTAAGTAAAAGCAGTATTTATGAGTCTTCTTTGTAGTCGCTCTGCAATAGCTCGCCCAGTGCCAGTTACTCGTCCTGTAATAAAAACATAAAATTTTAAAATTATTCTAATGTAGCACAAGATTATTCTAATATTACACAGACACCATAGTCTAATCTAATATTACCTAAACAACATTATTACCTGTATCTTCCAAGCCATCATCATTATAGCTATCAACAATGATTTCTGTGGATGTGGTGACATATGGTTTATTTTTCAAGAACTTGAAGTTTTCTTTTATAATATTCAATTTTTATTTTTATTAATGTCTCTTCTAGGTCCAAGTTTCGTGCTTTCCTTTCTTCATTTGCCATTTGGGCTTGATGGACCTCTTTCCTGCACTCAATTTCAGTATTGGCTATACTTGCTGCATGATCTGAGGTCTGAAATAGAAATAGTTATGTTTGTTTATTTAAAAAAAATCAAAGCAACAATTTCATAAATTAACAGAATCCCAATTAGAATAGAGGTCATTGTATTTACCTTTTTCTCACTTTTATGTTTTCTTACAGGTTTCTTAGATGGTGTAAACAGTGGTTTTGGTGGTGAGCCAATAGATACAACCTGCAGCAATGGAAACCGTTAAAAGAAACTTGTTTATACTAACTTAATCTTAAAGGTTTCATCAAATAAAATTCAAGTTTGAATAGACCATTTAATTTTTTCAAGTAATATTTTTATCCCTAAACTTTACAATGCACATACTGGGAGATAACTGCTTCCATGGTTTCAATTTCCAGTTTGGCACATGTTTAGTTAGTACTTAATTTATGACATTTCACATACTTACCTCTTGTGTATTTTGGACGTCCTGAAGTATGTCTACTGTGACATCCTTTACTGTACTCATTGTGTCCTACAAGAGTAAAATAAAATTAAAATTAGGTATGAAAAATATAAAAATTACTTGCTATATCAATACATTACCGATGCTTACAATATCTGAAGTCTTGTTTTCAATGTTGACAAGTTTAGTTATCTCATCCACTTTGATCTCATTTTGCAATGGCTCCCCAATCTACAAACAATGCAAATAAATAATTCTATTACTAATGAACTATATTATGTAAGTATGATTTTTTTTGATAACAATATCATTAACTAAACTTTAGTAGGTATTTAGGCAGAAAAGGAACAACAATGTTTATCAAATGAAAGTTTGTACTAAGTAGAAATAAAAATTTGTGACGTTTAACTTAGAATCTTGACATATACCTGATTAATTTCATCAGAATCAAATTCATTTGTGTCAATGACAAATTCGTTAGGGAGCAATGAACAAATGTCATCTGCATTTTCGGGGTTTGTTTTTGGAGGTGGACCACCACTAGTCTGAAGAAGATTTTTACGTTCGACAGACTTAATTTTCTTTTTTGCCATTTTAATCATGCACCATTGGGCTTTTAGTTGTGGGAGGATCCGAGTGCCACCTTTGCACATACTGTTGAAACTGGAAAAAAGTATAAAAATTTACATAAATGTTTAACATTTTAATATTCAAAAAAGGCTAATCTTAATGCAAGCAATTCTGAGCATTGTTGCACTTGCTCATATGCAACCCGTCCAATTCTATGAGCTATGTGGACTGCCCACTGTTACTTAAGCTTGAAACTTAAGTCTGAATCTGTGTCAGCAGCTATATTCTTCAATAAGTTTCGTCATAAGGAATCCTATTATATAGGAAGGCTCCTGTCATAGCTCTTCCCGAAGACTGTTATCTTACTTTAAACTTATATGTAATAGGCGAGCTAGAGACAAACTGACATGCTTCTGTTGCATAGTAATGTAACTGGCCGTATATAGAATATCATTGCGATGAAGACTTTCACATATTGATAGACAAAAATAGGTACCTGCATAATAAATCCGCCCATTTTGCTAGCTTTTTCGAGTTCGTATTTGTATCAGTATTTTTATTTTCAATCACTGATACACGCTCCCTTACCAAATCCATCAATAAATACTATAGAAAGAAAAAGGATATTATTATAACAACACAGTGAACTAACACTTGTGCACTAAGCACCTATGAGAAAATTACTTTAGTTACATACTAACCTTATCTTCCTCCCGCCAATTTTCACTTCTTTGCCGCTTTTTACTTGTACTGTTTTCCATTATTATTGAGTATAAAATAAAACTAAAATCAATTTCTTGAAACGATTTAACGACTTAACGATTTAACCGCGCTTATTTTGACGATAATGTCACAATTGCTGTCAAACTTTTTTTTTTCACCGTGGCTAGTCTATGGATTCATCAGAATGACAACATAATAAAAATAAAGTATTTCATAAGTACGATTTAACTAAAATAGGTTTATAGAACGTTTATGAATAGAGAATTTTATAATAGGTTTATTAGTACTAATGAGCACTTTAACTAAAGAGTGTTATAACGCCATTTTAAGGGATTTTTATGAATAAGACTGTTAATATATTACTTTCTTTTAGATATATTATTTCACAGCTTTCCTAAGGAATCAGCTATTCGTAATAGTTGGATAATCGCTACTGGTAGTGCTTATAGGTAACCAACAAAACTTAGCAGTGTATGCTCAAAACATTTTAAGCTTCATTTTTTTTAGGTGGACTAAATATGCTTAACTTATGTAATTTATAATATAATTAAGATATTTTTTTAAATGTTATAATTTCTTGTTGTATCTTGTTATTTCTCCATAAGTGATATAAGTTTGATCTTGTTGGTAGTTATGATTTTTGACATTGTTCTGTATGTATTAAAACATTTATACAAATGAATAATTTATTATGCAATAATAATTGTAAAACTGACTGGGAATGCCTACCAATGGGACATTTAGTCCACCCTTAATCCCTTTTGTAAAGATGTTATAAACATTACTGTGTAAATAAATTAAGAAATAATAATTTATAATATTAATTAAGAAATAAGAGATAAGTATTACCTATCTAAGTATAGTTTAGGAGTTGTACCTTATTATTTATACCATTAAAATAAATTATATACAAGGCAAATAATATATATACACTCCCTTCTAATCTGATTCTAACGACCAGCACCCAAGAATTTCTGCCATACAAAAGTATAAATCAAGTTTACAAATGGATATTTTTGAGAAATTCTAAGGCTACTCAAACCAAGAATTACAATGAATGCTCTAGAAAGAAGACAAAAATTTTGTTAAATTTGTTGTTTATTAATGTGATGAAAAATTAATAAATAATCGTTTGTTTATTTTAATTTTATTGAATTATATTTAATATATAATTGTGTTTTCATTTGTTTTACTTAATGTAACATTGTTAATATTTCTAAAAGTTGTGTAAGTACGCAAAATTTAGTTCTTTTTCCTTTTTAAATTTCAATATATTTTCATTTTAATAGAATATATATCTTTACAGTCTATCAAAAGTCCACTGTTGAACATAAACATGATTATAGTTATTAGGCATAGTTTCAACGCTTGGAAAGCGTGTTGTTAACCATTATTTAGCTGTTATCAGGACAATGCTGCTGTTTATCTTCTTTGATGTTTCCCTATGTCGCCTTATACACCACCCATAGAATGATATGAGGTAGCAGATAATCTTACACTGCATGGTAAATTAAAATAGAATATTATAAAACATTCGTTTTTATTATATAAACCAACATATTACAAAAAAAAAAACCTTTGTTGATACTTTACAACGTATACTAACTAAGACATTTTACCACCTTAATCATTAGGTAACATGATTAAGCCACCTAACCATAAATAAGTCACCTAAAAAAGGCCTTCCATAGATATCCTCATAGGATGACTTGCCATAGTTGCCACGCCTGCGTGAAAATATGCGTTATGTTGGTTGGCCACCGCAGTTTTTTATTATTTTAAGTTTTCATCGGGAAAGTGCTGCTGCACCATCCCCATCTTGTATTATTGCCTACGACAATACGGCAATACGGCAAAATAGACAAATTCTCTTGTATGCCACAACTTGCCGCACACAAGATACTAACTTAGCAAAACATGCAGGAAATCGCGGGAGTAGGCTCATAACCGTGTTTTGTACTACAAAACCTAAGTGGAAACCCTTTCCTTTCGAAGGTCTGTGTTCAGCACTGAACTTGTGATGGAATGGTATGTTAAAACATTATTGATCTTTTTTTGTAAAAACAACAAAACTCGACACAAGGAAATTTTTGTTTATTATTTAATATTTTTATTCTCAATTAATATTTAAGTACATACATAACATATTATTTATTAGCGATATCACACTTTGTGCTATTAGCGCCTTCACTTAGTGCCGTCGAAATCCAAAGAGTTTATTGAATGTCCAGTAAAATCGTCGATGCGCGGTTGAAATACAGAATGATGATTCTGTTTTTACGCCGTTTCCGCCCGTAGTTTTTGTCATAGAATGTATTTTCAAGAGAAATTATTTAATCATCTGAATTATAAAAGTACGTTTTTTTATGGTAACAATTAAGTTTTTTGTATGAATGTAAGTGCTGTGAATATAAATAAACCCATAACGGGGGAAATGGAACAATATCTGGTAACCCAGTGAAAGAACCTCCCGCCTATTTCTATCTCAAAAGCATACGCGAATGCTTTATCTAATCAATCCTCTATCTACGCATATTCTAATCTCACTTTTGTCTATGGTTGAAAATAAGGGCTATGCTATGGAGCTTTTTGTCCATAGTGTTTTGTGCTTTTTGTTCTAAGATTCCATGCCGCCCGTCAGGGTACACCGTACATGTCAATGTCAAATAGTGTTCTGTGGTACATGTATTCTGTGCCATGCCGTGATCATATAATTATTATTTTTTGTATGTAATATTTTGTACGTTTAATTAATCTATATTTATCGCATACTGTCTTTAAATAGATATTTTCATTTACAGGTGTCATGACGATTTTGATTTCGTAGACTGGTATACAGTAATCTGTGATTTTGTAAATATCTGTCATAGCACCTTACGTAAGGTGAAATAAAAATGGGTAATATTGTATCAGCAGAGGGTGTGAATATAAAATCATTTGAAAATAAAGACGGTCCTCCACCAGAATGTCCTATGCATAACAAAACTAAGACGTCTAGTGCCAAAAATCCAACATCGGAGTGTCCAGTTCAGCAAGAAAAAAATGATGTTAATCCTTATAATATGGTAAATTCTTTCTGTATCTTTTTCAAGCTTGACATTTTTGATTAAAATTATTTAGATGAAACAAACAAAACGCCTGTTTAGATTTTTAAAAGTAGTTATTAAACAAATTTAGTCTTATATATTTATAATATGCTTATGATACGTGAAATTTATAGTGTTAACTTACCACAAAATAAATAGGCTCACCTTTAGATTAACTACCCAATGTTAGTACTATGAAATGGCTGCCGTTTAAAGACCTACTTTATTTACTTATGTATAGAAAGTATGAGCTTTCAAACACTCAGTTTTTAAGAAAGCTAGGGCTTAGCTTTCCATTGACGTCAGTGGAGTTTGGTGTTGATACGTATTTTTACAGAAAGATTACACTATTATAAGCACACACACAAAGTCTCAATATACGGAAACGCATAATTTTTGAGAAAAGAATAATTGAAAATCAATTATTCTTGCAATGTTTATGTCTAATCTGCTAATAAACTGGCGCCATTTTGTAATGTCATTGTCGACGTCAATAGGGATGTTGATTCTTTCCGAAAAAGGTCGATTTTTAAATCGATTCAAGTCGTAAGCTGATGTATCGGTTCACAAAAAATCGATTTCTAAAATATCTATATTTTTTAATGTTTCTATTTATAATGTAAATATAAGCCCATTTTATGAAAAACAAGAAAGATACCATGATAAATGATCTCTTATTGAAATTTGTTTTATTTAACAGTATCTATTAGGGCAGATAACAAATAAAATAGGTTAGGTTCAACTTATGTCAAAGAACCGAATTGATTGACCCCGACTCCACCTGGTACGAGTCTGTCCTACCCCTAGAGTGGTTTTATAGAACCGGAGGCGCGTAGGGGGAGCAGCCTCTAGCCAGGGAGGTTGCTCTTCCCGCAGCGCCGGAGACGTAGCAGTCTCAAAATAGATACAGAAATCCTTATGAATCAGTCCCCTTATTTTTTCTCATAAAATGGATTTATATTTACATTATAAATGCAAACATGAAAAAAATATCGATATTTTAGAAATTGATTTTTTGGGAATCGATACATCAGCTTACGATTTGAATCGATTTAAAAATCGACCTTTTTCGGAAAGAATCGACATCTCTATTGACGTCGACAATGATATTACAAAATGGCGCCAGTTTATTAGCAGATTAGACATAAACATTGCAAGAATAATTGATTTTCAATTATTCTTTTCTCAAAAATTACGCGTTTCCGTATATTGAGACTTTGTGTGTGTGCTTATAATAGTGTAATCTTTCTGTAAAAATACGTATCAACACCAAACTCCACTGACGTCAATGGAAAGTCGTACCCCCGACTCCACCTGGTACGAGTCTGTCCTACCCCTAGAGTGGTTTTATAGAACCGGAGGCGCGTAGGGGGAGCAGCCTCTAGCCAGGGAGGTTGCTCTTCCCGCAGCGCCGGAGACGTAGCAGTCTCAAAATAGATACAGAAATCCTTATGAATCAGTCCCCTTATTTTTTCTCATAAAATGGATTTATATTTACATTATAAATGCAAACATGAAAAAAATATCGATATTTTAGAAATTGATTTTTTGGGAATCGATACATCAGCTTACGATTTGAATCGATTTAAAAATCGACCTTTTTCGGAAAGAATCGACATCTCTATTGACGTCGACAATGATATTACAAAATGGCGCCAGTTTATTAGCAGATTAGACATAAACATTGCAAGAATAATTGATTTTCAATTATTCTTTTCTCAAAAATTACGCGTTTCCGTATATTGAGACTTTGTGTGTGTGCTTATAATAGTGTAATCTTTCTGTAAAAATACGTATCAACACCAAACTCCACTGACGTCAATGGAAAGTCGTACCCCCGACTCCACCTGGTACGAGTCTGTCCTACCCCTAGAGTGGTTTTATAGAACCGGAGGCGCGTAGGGGGAGCAGCCTCTAGCCAGGGAGGTTGCTCTTCCCGCAGCGCCGGAGACGTAGCAGTCTCAAAATAGATACAGAAATCCTTATGAATCAGTCCCCTTATTTTTTCTCATAAAATGGATTTATATTTACATTATAAATGCAAACATGAAAAAAATATCGATATTTTAGAAATTGATTTTTTGGGAATCGATACATCAGCTTACGATTTGAATCGATTTAAAAATCGACCTTTTTCGGAAAGAATCGACATCTCTATTGACGTCGACAATGATATTACAAAATGGCGCCAGTTTATTAGCAGATTAGACATAAACATTGCAAGAATAATTGATTTTCAATTATTCTTTTCTCAAAAATTACGCGTTTCCGTATATTGAGACTTTGTGTGTGTGCTTATAATAGTGTAATCTTTCTGTAAAAATACGTATCAACACCAAACTCCACTGACGTCAATGGAAAGTCGTACCAAAGCTAGGACTAAATTAAGATGTTCTTCATAATCTAGCTCTTTTGACACAGAGCCTACGCATTAAAAACGTTACGTTTTGTTGTTTTTATTATGTTTCTGCCACTGTTTACAACTGGTTTAATGAGTTTAAACGTGGTTGATTCTCACCGATGATCTGCGTGAGGGACAACCTTCTACGGTGAAGACTGAAGATAACATCAGTGTTGTGCGGCATATTATAGAGACTGACAAAAGAGTGACTTATCAGTAGATTCGGACAAGCTTAGGCTTTGGTATGAGTTAAGCGCACAAAATCCTCCATGAACATTTAGTGGTCAGGAAGCTTTATGCCTGGTGGATACCTCATAATTTGACAGAGGCCCAAAAACTACATTGTGTTAATTGGTGTCATGAAATGGTTCAAAGTATTAACAGAGGTGACTCAAATGCTGTGTTCGACATACTTATGGGTGACGAAAGCTGGATTTATTGTTATGATCCTGAAACTAAGAGATTGTCGGCTGTGTCTGGGTGTTTCCTCCCGAGGAGTTGCCAACTAAAGTGAAGAGAGGTCGAAGTGTGGGAAAAAATATGGTGGCCTTGTTCTTTGGAAGGACAGGTCATTATGCAACAATTATTTTAGAGGATTGGAAAACAGTTATTGCGCAGAGTGGTACACTAACAATTGTTTGCCACTTGTCTTGGAAAAAGTTATGGAGAAACGACCTTACAGTAGGATTCTCCTTCACCACAACAATGCCTCGTCGCACACCGCTAAGCAAACAATAGACTACTTGGCAACGTGGAATTACTGGGTCACCCACCAGACCTCGCACCGTGCGATTTTTATTTATTTTCGAAAATAAATGAAAAACTTTGTGGGAAATGTTTTATGGATGCCAAGGAAGCAGTGGCTGCATTTCAAAATGCCATTGAAGAGACCCCTAAGGACTAATGGGCAAAGAGCTTTTTTCAATAGATCCATCAGATGCAGCAATGTATTGATGTAAATGGACACTATTTTGAAAAGATATAATAAAACTAACTTGCTAGTTTGTTCAGTTTTTGATTTTCTAAGAACTTTCAGTGTCATCCTCTCAATGCAAGAAGCACTAATTAAGTTAAATATGAAACTTTTTTGGCCCGGGCAGTATAGATAGCCGCAATGGTGTTTACTGTTGAGGGGATATTATATAAGACATTTATTGCCATTTGATTTAAAACAAAGAATATTTTTTTTCTTGGGTGAACTAGTTTTGTGCAAGCTAGCATAACTAGTTTTGAGGTGCGGTAGCTGCAAAGATCTGGTTCATTCTTTCCAGGAAATACTATTTTAGTCTAGGTAAACCTAATTTGTCCTAAATTGGGTTTAGTCTGCAATAGTGTTTTTGACTGCAGAATTGCCCAAAACTAGTTTTAATGGAAATTTTAATAAAAAAATATGCTTTTTTTGAGGGAGGGTTATGGCAGAGGGTGCACTTTCCCCTTTCTCCCATCTATTTAAAAAAAATGCTTCAAATTGCCACTTAATTTAAATTAGTGTCAAAAATTTATAAAAAAAAACATGTATTTTTGAGGAGGGAATGTGGCACTGGGTTCTCCCTCCCTCATACTCTCCTATTGATAGCAATATCTATAACCTCTTAATATAGCCATATACCATATTTATATAGCCATAACCCCTTAACATAGATTAAGAGGTTGTTAATCTAAAGTCCTTCCAAAATACTTAGTTTTTATAAATAAAATTTACAGATGCCTCCAGCAAATCAACAACCAGCCCCAGACCAGCCTTTTCCACTTCCAACAAATCGACAAGTGTCATCAATCCCAAGAGCAATGCCAGATGGTTCTACTGAATTTTGGGTGTACCCAAGCCAACAAATGTTCTGGAATGCCATGTTACGGAAAGGCTGGCGTTGGAAAGATGATGACATAAAACAAAAAGATATGGAGGACATTATTCGTATACACAATGCCAATAATGAACAGGTAATATTTCCTTTTATGCATAGATTTATTACATAAGTACAGCCTATTAATTGTCCATTGCCAAAAAAAGGCCTACCCATTCATTTGCTCCAGGGGGTATATTTTGGCATAGATACTCTGCTAGGTATGTAGGTTGTCTAACAGCTTCTGTTATTTTCAATTGTTATCAGTAAGTTTGGCTGCTCATCTCCCATGGTATGGGGATGTTGCAATATTTTCGCTAATTTAATAAAGCTCATATTAACTATTAAGACTTAATTAAAATCACGGTGTGAACTGGTTGCTGTTCAGAGTTTTAATATTCTCTTTACCCATTTTTAAATTGTAAAAGAAATGATAATGGAGAAGTTCCATTTTTTTTAATGGATAAATTATAAAAATTTGAGTAAAATAAAACAAAAATGTGAAAGAATCAATAAAATATATCTAGAAATGAAAAAGTTATGGGACTCTGAAGTTGCACTTACAAGAATAATTTTGTTACACTCGACGCTCCGTCATGTGACGTCATTTGACCTAGACGACGCAGCACGTATTCGCCGAGTATGTACAAATTTATTATTTTGTTAATTAATTACACAATGGCAGAAGTTAAAAAATGCCTACAAATATTGTATTGTTCCTGTGTCTAAGCACACAACAGTTAAAAATTCCAATAATTTTTTTTTCGTATACCAAATAATACAACAACAGGTATAAAGTTGTGTAAACTAATGAACTGCAATTTAATTGGACCTAAAAGCACTAAATATGTGTGAGTGAAGATCATTTTGATGTGAGTAACTATTATTAAAAGCAGCCTATTTCTGATTTGGAAGTAAAGACTAGTGATGAGTAATAAAGTTTGCGCGTTTACCGCTAAAAAGAACCCCTTTGTCGTATCTCCTCAGTTTCAAGGCACTCCCCTTCTTGCCTCAGCCAGTATCGGTATCCTCGGAGTTGACATATCGAGTGACGTGCAGTTTCGTGGTCACTTGGAAGGGAAGGCCAAATTGGCCTCTAAAAAGCTTGGCGTGCTCAGCAGAGCGGGACAGTATTTCATGCCGGCACACCGCCTGCTACTTTACAAGGCGCAAGTTCGGCCTCACATGGAATACTGTTCCCATCTCTGGGCAGGGGCTCCCCAGTGCCAGCTCCTTCCACTTGACCGCATCCAACGCAGAGCGGCTCGAATTGTCGACGACCGAGCCCTTTCCGATCGGCTCGATTCATTGGCACTGCGAAGAGATGTTGCATCCCTTTGCATTTTCTTTAGCATCTACCATGGGGAGTGCTCTGAGGAATTGTTCGGATTAATCCCAGCCGCCAAATTTCACGAACGCACATCGCGGTAGAACTCCCGATACCATCCACACCATCTGGATGATTGGCGGTCCACCACTGTGCGATTTAGAAGATGTTTTCTTCCTCGCACGACCTCCTTGTGGAATCGATTACCATCAGCGATTTTTCCGGACCGATACGACTTAGGGACCTTCAAGAAAAGAGCGTACTCCTTTTTAAAAGGCCGGCAACGCATCTGCGATTCCCCTGGTGTTGCAGTTGTTCATGGGCGGCGGTAGTCACTTACCATCAGGTGAGCCGCATGCTCGTTTGCCCCCTCTCATATAAAAAAAAAAAAAACAATTATTTTATATTATAATAGTACATGATATTCCCTTTAAAATGACACCAATATCAATAATATCTTATATACCTTCTCAATATACATAAGTATATAATGTTTACCTAATATATATAATAATAAATAAGTAAAGAAATAAATAAAAATAAGTTTTAATCATTTTTAGACACATCTCAACAGATATTTTGTTTATAAATTGCTATCAACGTGTTAATAGTGAATCATTCTTTTATATTTAGCATTCATTTAACACAAGAAACTGATTAGAATGCATTTTAACCGATTCCTTGCGGCACCCATTTTCGACAACTTTTAGCTGTGGCGGCGAACAAATATTTCATGACACGCCGGGCGTGTTAAGCGCCACAGACAAAAATGACACGCCTATTGTGCCATCCGCCATGTATAAAAGTAATGTTCTTTTTAAAGTATTTTTTACTTGTTTAGACCTAATTAAGTTTATTTGACATCAAACATAAGTTACAAATGGAAGGATACTTGTTTTTGGTGGGTAACTACGTGTTTTTTTACGCGTTTTCTTTGAAATTGAGAGAAAGTGACTTTTTATGAAGAGATTACAAACCTTTTGTACTATTTTTTGTTGTTATAAAAAATCATTTGTATAAGTAGGTACAGCTAAATCACCCTGGAAACCTTGGTTTTTATTAAATTAAATTTTCACCTAATAATAACATTTGTAAATATCAAACAATGAAGAACCTTAATTTGAAAAAAAAAAAGGTACATCATTCATTGATATTTACAAATGTTAAATATTATTTAATGTTATACCAATGTAAAAGTAAAGTCTCTTAAATATGGCGTAAGCGAAGTATTGCTCGTTTGATGTAACTGTTCTTTTTATATCAAATAAATAAGAAAAACTAAAACAAGAATGTGTAAATTAATTATTTTAACATGGTAGAAAAGCGTGGTTGATAAGTTTCGAAAAATACCCAGCTTAAAAACGAACAAAAAAAAAGAAAAAAATGGCGACTAAAAATAGCGATATAAATAGTCCAATTTTCGACGGTACAGACTATAGTAATTGGAAAATACGAACACTCAAATTTCTGCAGTTCAAAAAGTGCAAGGATGTTGTAATGAGAGCGAAAATTGCAACCGACAAAGTGGAGTGGGACGACAGAGATGTCCAAGCAACTAACTATATTTATAGTGCAATAACCAACAAGCAGTTGGAATATATAAGCGATCTTGATTCAGCCTACGAAATAATACAGAAATTCGACGAGATGTATTTGAAAAAATCAACAGCGTTGCAAATAGTATGTCGACATAACCTCGAAAGTGTCAAATTGAAAAATTATTCTGAAGTGTCTCTATTTTTCGATGACTTTGAAAAATCTGTAAATGAGTTAAAACAAGCAGATGCAACGATATCAGAAACAGAAAAACTAAATTATATGTTAAAAGCACTCCCAGTAAGTTACAGCTACATAGGTGATTTAATTGATGTCTTGCCAGAGGGTGAAAGAACAGTTGACTATTTAAAAAGTAAAATAAAATTGAAAAATACGTTAAATGTGAGTGAAACGTCAACAAAAAGACAGGCCATATGATAGTAATACGATGACGGCAGTTCAACCATTTTAAGCAAAATTAAACAATAAGACAAACGCATTGTTTTTTTTTAACAGGAGACTTGTTTTCCAGGAATTTATTTACAACTTGAGTTTGTGAGCGATCGCAATGAGTGCTATTATTTGTTACTTATTAGACAATTTTTCCATAACATGATTTAAAACCCACAAAGTAAAAATAGTACCATGTACACGTTAAAAAAAGGTTGTCAACCACTAAAAATTTCAAATTTTCAAAATATCCAGAAACGAAGCTGCATGCATGAACTACTTGCAAAATAATGACTATTTTGTTCTGGATAAATTTTCCAAAAAAGCAATTTGAGCGAGTTATAACGATTTTTAAAAAGACACGACTCGCGTGTCATACGCCACACACAAAAGTAATCGATGGCACGCCTGGCGTGTCACCCGCACTGAACCGGTTAAACAACATATAATCAATAAACGATGATCGCGTATAGTGATTAAAATTTCGAGCTAAATTATTATATTATGTAAATGTTTTGGGATTGTCGTAATGATGCATATTTACTAAAGAAAATATCTTCACAATTAGTTTGATGTACAATACATTACAGACATTAGAAATAACGTATAAAAACAGAAAAGTTATCACATTTTTGATCGAATTTCTTACACTTTAACATTCCACAAACAAAAATGGCGAAATTTAATTTTAACTTTTTTTTCTAAATATTTTGTTACTATTATACAGATAAAATTCACTTTTACAGATGACAAATTTCATATAGCACCATCTATAATTTTTTACAGTATTAATAACAGCTATCTTTTGCGCTGTACACGTTTAAACCGAAAGATGTCGTTTGGTGACTAGTCACCGTGTACAGGTGAAGCAATAAGGCCGCGTTCCGACGACACGCACCCGCTACGCGCGTCAGCACCCGCGTCTAACTCGCTTTGAAATTTGTTGCATATAATTTGAGTCTTATGACAAATCAACAAATCTGAAATTGTATAAAAAGCGCAGGCGTAGGCCGTAGCGGGGCGGATGCAGAACGAGCGTAGGGCCGGCGCGGAGCGGGAACGAGGCGGGCGCGTGGCGTGTGCGGTTGAACGTGGATAAATGCAATTTCAGATTTATTGATTTGCCATAAGACTCAAATTATATGCAACAAATTTCAAAGCGAGTTGACGCGGGTGCTGACGCGCGTGACGTACGCGTAGCGGGTGCATGTCGTCGGAACGCGGCCTAATTGTTTTTGGGGACTGTAGTCACCCGTGGACGGTTGAGTAGTTATAGAAGGATTTAGAATTCCATGGAGAGTTGAATAAATATTAGTTTTATTAATAAATATTCATTTTGACGACTGGAATTCGAGTACGTTTGTATTTACTAAATTTTGAATATTGTTCTTCGCCAATTTGACTTGGGCCGAAAAGTGACTGAAACAGTACAGTATACATCGATGGGCTAAGGCATGCTTGTTTTACCACAAAACATTGGTTTAGAAGATTTAAGGATGTAAGTTTTAATGTTGTAATGTACTTTTTCCATTACAACACCCTGCAATAAATATGGAAGGATTAAGAAGGCTTATAGAAATGGCTCCCAGATTCACTTTACATTGCCCGGCAAACAACTTCAGTGCCTTCATACTGTAAGAGCAAACTCATAAAATTTCCCACTTTAGAAAAGTCATGAAAATATTCAGTTTGGTATCCACATTAGTTGATATGATTTCAACTTCGATTTTGGAATAGAGCCAGTATAATTACAGGTTGTGAGGCATTCCATCTTAGTCCTCAAAAGTGACAATGCAGAGCAAATGTTTACATGGGAGTACTAACGTCCTACCAATGAATGTTAGGTTGTTATTACAGGGGATAAAGAGGAGTTGAGTTGGAGAAATGTATGCTGACAACATATTCCGACACGAGGTAAAAAGTTTATTTTCAAGGGTGTAATGGGGAATAAAAGGTATTAACTGGGAGCTTCTGTCAACTAACATAACTGATTCAGCAGCAAGATAAGAAAAAAATTAAAGTGTGTTTTTTACATTATAATGCTCAACCACAAATAGTAAGAGAGACTCAAGAAAAAATAGTTTTGATTGGCTGGACTGAACTTTCTCACCCACCATACCTCCCAGACATTAAGCATTTAATTTAGACTACCACCTATTCCTCTTTTTATGTCATTACTTAGAAGATCCGTGGAATTTTGGTCACAGTGGTCTGTCTCAACATTTAAATTTAATTTTTTTTAAAGTTAATAATCCACAATGTCAAATCTTAGTTTAGATCATACATACTATATTTATTTTCTCTGAATACAGCTAAAAAATCTGAACTACCTCATAAAACAAGTAGGGTAAAAACACAAACATACCCTTTTGTGAGTGAATGCGTAGAAGTAATATAGAGGATCAAAACAAGAACCCCCGTTAAAGGTTGTCGAGTGGCAGTTTCGTATTTGCAAGCGCAGTGTAGTGCAGTCCCCTAATCAATAAAGTAGTGTAGAAGAAGTTGATTGGTGTATTTGGCTTAAGGGGCTACTCCATGCGAACGACCTTGAGCATTTGACCTAAGCGTAGCTGTAGCGAGCGGCTCGCCGGAAGAAATATGTAAGACGCCACCTATTGTACGAAAGTAGTATTATTTTTTCAACATCAATAAACTATTTTATGGAAATACACATAGCGTACAAAGATAAATGTATTTTAATTTTTTTATTCTGTATATATTAGTTGCATTATATTAGAATTATGTATTTTCATATATTATCTAATTATGAAATTTTATAATTAATTATATATTAAAACTGAAGCATTGAAAATTGTGAGTTTAAAAGATACCTATTCACTATAGGTAAATAAATAGATAGCTCGGCTTTTGTACAAATATTTGGTGCAATAAAAAATAAATAAATAAATAGGATGTTTCGCATATGTGTTTTTGATTATTGTTAATTTTTACGTGTCACGTATTGAAAAGTTACCTACTAATTTATGAACTGAGCACCTTGTAACTTAGCCTGCTTATTACTTATGCTAGCAGATATTATCCTCACCCCAATGATTGATGAGGATGAAAATCAATTTTATTTCTACATACGTAATTATATTTATTTATACATAAGGATAACTTTAATAAAGGTAATACAAAAATCAACAAGAAGTATGAACCCTTATATATCTTACCTTATATATAATCTTTCAATTTCAGTTGTAAAAAAACGTTACCCCCACACTAGGATTTTCTCCTGTGTCGTGGAGGCAGTTTACAAACATAAATATTGCACAAAGACAAACATCCAGACCCGGAACAATTATTTGTAGGCCATACAAATACTTGTTCCATGCGGGATTCGAACCCGCGGCCCCCAGCGCAACAACTGATTGCTAAGCCACTGCGCCACCATGAAGCTAATACAAAAACTAACTTTGTATTTGCTTCATGGTCGCCGGGTTATAGCTAAAGTGACCATACGTCCCGTTTTGAACGGGACTGTCCCATTGTCCCCAAACAAAGCTCCGGGACACAAAATTGTCCCGTAACTCGTTGGATGGAAGTATTCAAAGTCAACAATCTTCAACATAGTTTTTTTTAATCGAATATATTTTATCTCTACCTGGTACGAATGCTCCGGTAGAAAGAGTATTTTTTTATTTTGCATAAATTGTGGACGTCTGAAAGAAACACTTACGGTTCCAGAGTTCTAAAGGCGATGTTGTTAACAAAGATAACAATAAAAAACTTGAGCAGAATTTTATTCTTATTTAAAATCATCACCAACTTTATTAAAGCAAATTTAATCCACTGACAAATGTAATTAATAATTAAAAAAAATATGTTGCATTTAATAATTACCGTCTATACCGAATATAATTTTATAGTGAACACTAATTGTATAAAGTTATAGTTTTTAGAGTATAAATAAACCCATGTCCTGTTATGAGTTAAAAAATAAATGGTCAGTTTAGTCTTTTTAGTTAAATTTAGTTTTAAAAATTTTTAGTTAATAGTAAAAAGTAGGTATATTAGTACCTACTTAGATACTTTTTACCGAATTATAAGTATAGAACACCTTATGTACTCAATTATTTTTTGAAAAAGAAGAAAAAACAAGCAATAAATAATATACTATATTTTAGCTATAAACTATAACTTAGTAATACTAATTATAACTTAGAACATAAATGAAAAACTCATAACTGACTTTTTGGCCCGACCCAGGATTCGAACCCGGGACCTTATGATCAGCAGTCGCACTACTACAACCACTAGACCAACGAGGCAGCACTATACCTGATAAGATATTGTGGTTGGGTGATAATATTGAATTAGCCTTTTATAGTGTAAATTATAATATTTGTCGAAATTTTAATTATGGATTCGAACCTTACATGCTAATGGTGCTTCATTTTTTTATTTGCATTTACTTCAAAGAAAATACACGCAAAAAGCTTCATCGCGCAGTAAAAAGCACAACAAATATATGTATAACTAATACGAAAAATTATACCCAAAACAAACAAATAATACTACCTATAAATAACCTAATAAGTAAGACGTGGCGTATGCGTTGGTCGACGCTCTAACGACACGGGCTTCACGTCGAAGAGCTCAGCGCTCACTGACTTCAACAAGCCCGTGAGCAGTAAATATGCCCAGATTTTAAAATAATTTCTTAATAAAATCAAATAATGGTCTTTTGAAAAAAAATTTACTATAGAAATGTTCATTAATAAATTGCCTATCCATTGGTGTAAATCGCAAAATAAAATAATACTTACTTTACGAGGAGATGCATGTTATCAATAATAATTTCACATTTATGTGGTTTCGTTGTAAGGAGATTATATTAATATTTATTCCTTTAAAAAAAAATTGGATATAGCTTTTATGGAATCAAGATTATGTAGAAATATAATGTGTTTTTTATTTGTTGATATATCTTTTAAATAAAAAGTAGATAGCTTCTAAAAACCGCCCAAATAACGACTGGCGCGACATTTTGCTCAACCTGCGCCTTAAAGCGAAGTTGTTATTAAATATACATAGGGTGAGTCGATGCCGGTAATGATGATGATTTGTTATTAAGGACACATAATTTCTTTTTAGGCTTGGCAGGAAGTTTTGAAGTGGGAGGCATTACATGCGAAGGAGTGTGGACACCCAAGATTGAAAAGCTTTGGGGGGAAAGCAACAGATTATAGCCCAAGAGCCAGGATGCGTTCTTTGTTAGGGTAAGTTGTAATTTTTCTAAAATTATGGGTTAATTATTGGTAAAAGTAATTTGTTTAGTACAAAACTAATTATTTCATATATATTTGCACAGTTCCTTGGTCTGATTGTGGGTAACAACTTATTTTTCTTGTATAATTCTTTCCAAAAAGTTATTTAATAAATCTCGTCTCGATTAAGAAATAAAACCAACTAGACAGGTGGGTCACTACTGTAAAATATTTTTAGTTATAATAATACAAAATACTGAAATTAAAACTTTGTGTAGAAGATTTTTAACTAAGTAGAATACAATCACATTTCTGTTAGGAATCTTATTTCGGGTTTGTTTGTTCTTTACACTATCTACCTATCTCTTCCGAGCCAAACATCGCGATTCCCGACGAATGGCCTTGCAAGTTGCATGCGTTGGGCATCACAAAACTCACATAGTAGCGGAAATATGGTCGATCATAGTCAGAATAGGTACTTTACCTAAGTAACTTAGTTACCATTTCACAATGTATAAGTTCTTTTTATTAACAGCCCTTACTAACCACGGAAATTCCGTCGTGACTTAGGAAGGGGAAAAGATACAAAGTAATGTAGACACGCGCGCAGCGATAGTTTTATTTAGCTTGCGTGCGCGATTTATCTGCATAATAGTAATTACGTAGGCTATTAAAGCGTCGGCAAGCAGTCGACAAAGGAGTGCAACTTCTGTACATTGTGCTATTATTTATTCTGTGCTTTGAGCCAATATTCCTGTGTAAAAAGCGATTTTTGAGTATCGGATATCTCTGAAACTAAACGAGATATCGAAAAACGTAATTCTTACTTTTCGGCGTATCTCGTCGAGATAACCATAGTCGTGGGGTTGTTATAAACTAAATTGCTTAATACCACGTAAAGAAAGAAAATTATATGTCCTGCCCAGTTTTAAGGGGACCTCCCGTGGACAAACCCATTATAATGGATTTCCGCAAAGTAACGCCTGATTCTATTTATTAACCATAGTCGTGATTTGTATTCCAGCCATAATGCATTGTCGCCAGGGGTAAATAGAAATACATCGGTCACTGGGGTCGCGACTCGCAAAAAGTAGCTTATGTCCTTCCCCGGGATGCAACCTACCTCCATACCAAATTTAATCAAAATCCGTTGCAGAGATGAGCCTTTAAAGCGTAGCAAACAGAGACACACTTTCACATAATAATATTAGTATGAATTATTTTATAGTTCACAGTCTCTAAACTTAACTCTAACTGTAAAAAAATTAATAACTTAATTGAACTATAAAACCACAAAATATTTGCAATGCGCTCGACTAATAGCCCTTTCGTTCATACCCAGACTGTGCCGACACAAACCGATTTGTACCCAGACAGAGCGTCGGTGAACCTGTCGTTGGAAGCTCACGCACACATCGCTGCTCTATGTGTACTCGCAGCTAGCCGTTTGTTTGTAGCTTCCTCTCTGTAGGGATCTATACTCATGTGGTTATACTGCGATTTATTTGGAAACCGTACGATCTTTTTGGCATATCCCATAGTATTATCTTACGACACATATGAGGCGAGTTGCCACCATACGGCAAAATATTTCATTCTAATTAATAATTATTTCAGGTATGAACTCCCCTTTGACCGCCATGATTGGATTGTAGACAGATGTGGAAAAGACGTAAGGTACGTTATAGACTATTATGATGGAGGGGAAGTCGACAATAAATATCAGTTTGCACTCCTAGATGTGAGGCCGGCTTTAGACTCTTTTGAAAATGCATGGGACAGAATGAAAGTAATGTATATGAGATATCGCTATGAACTTATTGGTAACAAAGAAAATACAAAATTAAAAAACTAAATTTATTGCCCTTATATGCACATTATCTCAATGTGAATTTTAGTTATCATTTCTGTTAAATAACAATATTAGGTGTTGCCCGCCCCTTCAAAATATTATTTAGTAACGTTATTTAGTTATTATTGAGTAACTGTGTGTATTCTCTTAATGTTATGTGGGGTTCTTTGTCGGCAAAATTGTCACTGCAGAAACTCTTTGTGATCCTAATTCATTTTATTGTAAAAGATTTTGTTCATAGTATTTACCATTGAATAAATTTTAGTTTGTTAAAGATTGTCGTGCGAGATAATTGTACCTATTTGTTAAAAAATCATGAAACTAATGACTTAGTCATTGTGTTAATAAACCATGTAAGTAGATTTGCATTTTGTTTTATTTAATATGTTTCCTACATCTATGTTATGCTAATAACCGTAATGCCGTGTAGTGGCGGTCAAGAATATCCACTACCCCATATCCTCCCGTGGGTGTCGTAAAAGGCGACAAAGGGAAACAGGCAGGAGATGGGCAGCAGCATCTTCTTGATAACAACAAACTAACAATAAAAAAAAACTGCGGTTGCCAACCCGCTCGCCAAGCGTGGCAACTATGGCAAATACGCCCCCTATATGAATGACAGTAACAAAGAAACGGCCCCCAGTCCCCGGCGGCCCCGCTATTCCTGCCTACGGTGGCGACCATGGTAACGGCGGGGCAGGGGGTGCTAAGAATCTCCGGTGGAGGTTCGGTTGCCACCTTAGACGACTCGACCTGGCAACGTACAACGCACGCACCCTGAGGACTCACGAGAAGATCGTGGAGCTGGAAGAAGAGATAGACAAGTTGCGCTGGCATATTATAGGATTATCCGAAGTCCGAGAAGGGGAGGACACGGTAATCCTCGAATCCGGCAACTTGCTCTATCACCGGGAGGGCGACCATCTGTCCCAAGGAGGTGTCGGATTTATCGTCCACAAGTCTCTCGTTAACAACGTTGTAAAGATCGGGAGTGTGTCGACGAGGGTTGCGTACCTTATACTCAGAATCACCAAACGGTATTCGCTGAAGGTCATACAGGTTTACGCACCAACCTCGGCACACCCCGATGAGGAGGTGGAGGAAATGTATGAGGATATCTCTAGAGCCATGCATTCCTCCAAAACCCAAAATACGGTGTTAATGGGAGACTTTAATGCAAAACTAGGCACAAGAGAGAACGGTGAGTTGAAAGTAGGGAAATTTGGAATAGGGCAACGGAACCCAAGGGGCCAGCAGCTGGCCGACTTCATGGAGAAAGAGGGACTCTTTATGATGAACTCTTTCTTCCAGAAGCGGCCCCACAGGAAGTGGACCTGGTCGAGCCCCGACGGTTCGACAAAAAATGAGATTGACTTCATTATGACGACCAGACGACAACTGTTCAGTGATGTCTCCGTGATCGCGAGGGTGAAAACTGGTAGCGATCACCGAATGGTTAGAGGCACACTGAACCTAAACGTTAAGTTGGAGAGGTCTCGTCTAATGAAGTCAACGCTCCGTCCCCCTCGTGCTCTAATCCAAAGTCCCGAAACCTTTCAGCTCGAGTTACAAAACCGTTTTCAGTGCCTAGAAGACTGCAATGAAGTGGACGATATGAATGACAAGCTCGTGGAAACTGTCCATGCGGTCGGAGCTAAGTTCTGCAAGACCCGCCGCAGAAGAACACAAAAACTCTCCGATCACACTCTTAATCTCATGGCTGTTAGACGGGAGATGAAGCTACATTCTTCAACAGACTTGACAGCATACAGGCATCTGAACAGACAGATCTCCAAATGCATGCGGCGGGACTTACGCAACTTCAATACAGCTCGTATTGAAGAAGCGATCGAGCGGAACCACGGCTCCAAAATCTTTGCCAGAGATCTGTCTGCCAGAAAGAGCCAACTGTCAAAGCTGAAGACAGAATGTGGCAGCATCGTTTCCGGGACACCTGAGATTTTGAGTGAGATTGAGAGGTTCTATAGGCAGTTGTACACGTCATCGTTGGAGCCACATGCAAGTGTGAGTAACGATCCAAGAGCGAGTCTCATCCGACACTATTCCGAAGATATCCCGGACGTCAGTCTGAGCGAGATTAGAATGGCTCTCCAGCACCTTAAAAACGGTAAGGCCCCAGGCGAGGATGGAATTACAGCGGAGCTTCTGAAAGCGGGTGGAAAACCGGTACTTGAAGTCCTTCAGAAGCTCTTTAATTCCGTCCTCCATGGTGGCATTACACCGGAGGCGTGGAGCAGAAGTGCGGTGGTCTTGTTCTTCAAGAAAGGTGACAACGCTCTCTTGAAGAACTACAGACCGATTTCCCTTCTGAGCCGCGTCTACGTGCTGTTTTCGAGAGTCATTACGAATCGTCTCGCGCGCAGACTTGACGACTTCCAGCCTCCCGAACAAGCCGGTTTCTGAAAGGGCTTTAGCACCATAGACCACATACATACCCTTCGGCAAATTGTACAGAAGTCCGAAGAGTACAATTTGCCACTATGTCTGGCGTATGTGGACTATGAGAAAGCCTTTGATTCCGTCGAAATTTGGGCGGTGCTGCAGTCCCTTCAGCGGTGCCAAGTTGACTGTCGGTATATCGAAGTGTTGAAGTGTTTGTACAGTAGAGCTACGATGGCTATCCGAGTACAGAACCAGAGTACGAAACCTATCCAATTGCAGAGAGGTGTAAGACAGGGTGACGTCATATCCTCGAAACTCTTCACCGCTGCATTGGAAGACGTTTTCAAGCTTCTGGACTGGAAAGGATACGGTATCAACATCAATGGCGAGTACATCACTCACCTTCGATTTGCCGACGATATAGTCCTTATGGCAGAATCGCTGGAGGACCTAAGCACTATGCTCAATGACCTCAATAGTGTTTCCCAACGGATAGGTCTTAAGATGAACATGGACAAAACTAAGATCATGTTTAATGTCCATGTCACACCTATGCCGGTAGTTGTTGGGAACACTAAGCTCGAAGTTGTTGACGAGTATGTTTACCTGGGACAAATAGTCAGACTAGGTAAGTCCAACTTCGACCGAGAGGTCAATCGACGGATTTAACTCGGTTGGGCAGCGTTCGGGAAATTACGGCACATCTTCTCGTCAGGTATACCTCAAACCTTGAAAACGAGACTGTACACCCAGACGTGTTGCCAGTGATGACATACGGAACTGAGACGTGGTCCTTCACTGCTGGCCGGATGAGGAAGCTCAAGGTCGCTCAGCGAGCTATGGAGAGGGCTATGCTCGGAGTTTCTCTGCGTGATAAACTTAGGAATGAGGATATCCGCAGTAGAACCAGAGTAACCGACATAGCCCAACGGATTAGTAAGCTGAAGTGGCAATGGGCCGGCCATATAGCTCGAAGAACCGACAACCGATGGGGAAGAAAGGTTCTCGAGTGGCAGCCTCGTACCGGTAGGCGAAGTGTAGGGCGTCCCCCCACGAGATGGAGTGACGACCTGGTAAGACATGCAGGAAGTCGATGGATGCAGGTGGCTCAGGACCGTGCTTTGTGGCATTCTTTGGGGGAGGCCTATGTTCAGCAGTGGACTTGTGAAGGGCTGTAATGATGATGATGATGATTACTATAAGATCTCATAGCGCGCTCGAACGAAAGCAAAGTTAAAACTGTTTAAAAAGAAACCAGACTCCGTAAAAAATTATAAAATAAATATATATCCCTTAAGATGGAAACTACAGCGTAGCCCGCGAAATTCATGTTTTCATACGTTTTTTGCCATTTGTAGGTTATATGTTTAACAAAATATGATTCGCGACCGTGGCGAGTATGTATTTACAGAATTATAATCATTCTAATCATCAATACAACCCTCTAAGTTCGTATAATTCCATTGTATGGTTAATACGGGAAAACTCATTCAAAGGGATTAATATGACCTTAGAGGGTTTTATTGGTGATTTTAATGATAATAATTCTGTAAACACATACTCATTACGGTCGCGAATCATATTTTGTTAAATATTCAACCTGACCCTGATTTACAAATTCCAAAAAATGTAAGAAAATTTGAATTTCGCGGGCCGCCCTGGAGCTTTCACCTTAAACTGTTTAAAAATAATTTTATCACAGCTTTATTATAAGTTTTGAAAATTTAAATGAGAATGGTCGCTAACCAACTTTAAATCGTTATAGATGATAAATGGTCAATTAAAACGAAAAATGGCTAAAGAAACCTAAATATGATTTTCAAAGACCTAATCAATGATACCCCACTTCACATAGTTCGTCGACTTTAATTTTTTCTTTTAAGCAACATGGTATCTGGCGACAACGCCATATTGAATTATGATTAATGTGATGTCTTTAGTGCATTCGCAAGATTAAGACAAATTGATTGACGTAAGAATCATCAAAATCGTAAGACGTAAGAATCGGCTCACGAGTTTGGTCTAGAGCGCCACAAAGGAACAAACATACATACATTAATATATAGGCTGATAAACACATTACCCTTCGTAGTCGGATGATAAATAAACAAACTAGAGGGACGAACGACACTATGCGTTTGTCGGAAATTCAACAGGAGTTTCCCCTTTTGATCTCAGTAATACACCAGGAAAGGTGAATTGTTAAAAATAGTAAGTGTGAGAGCAGATGTTTAGCTCACATATGAAGTATAATATCTAAAATCTCACCTTGGTAATAAGCAACATTAACATTGTATTCTGAAAAAAGGTATTTTTTTTAATCAAAATTAAAAATATCTTTTGAGAAAGAAACAGAATTGAAACAGAAATTAATTAATTAAATTTATAAAAGTTAAATACTGAAATATTTATTCGAATTATATACTCACTTGCATTTTTTATCAATGATCTGCACTTCACATATAAATTTGTTGATATAACCACACACTTTACCACGGCGCGGATTCATTGGTAAAAATAAAATAGCGCGCGCTTTCCCGGTTTCCTGTTACACACATCCATCCCTTTTCACGAAATCGCTCCTACAGATTGCGGGAAAG